TCTCGACAATGGGCTCCCCTAAAACGTTGGAAGAAGAAATTCACTATCACAAGTGTTTTAAGGAAACACTAACTGATAGAGTGTTTAAACTCCCTAAAATGAGTCTAGACAGCGGGCCTTCCCTTTTCTAAATGGATCATATTAGCAAATAAACGTATTCCTGAGTTTCATGCACGAAAATAATGAGGGATTTGTAACCATGTCTCTGGTTGATTTGATCGGACCTCGTACACGCGAGAGCCCAGCCTGGGAGGACGGAAAGACCTCCCCTTTCCTTTGACCAACATGCTCTCAAACCACTTAATGTATTAAAAACTTCCAATTAAGTTCTTCCATAAAAAACATGTTAACATTTTTTGTGATATGTCATTACATTATTATTTAATAAACATATTTCGACACACACAGACATGTCACTTAGACATACCACTGGAAGAAATAGTGTTAATGAAAAAGTCGAATTTTGCTGCAATTTGGAAAGGGAGATTCTCATTATTACTCCACTTAAACAACGAGCGATACAACATCTTTCATGTAAATCCTTCATGCAAGGGTGGAGGGCGTCCTTCAAAACAAAATTTACTTGCAATGGCAGTTGAGTAGTGTTGTGGTTGTCGTGGTAGAAGGTGAATACTTCATGCAAGATCTAATACACATTTTAGAGTATGAGGTTTGAGGTTTACTTGGTCATGGCAAAGTGAATCCTTCCTGCAAGATCTAATACACCTTTTAGAATATGAGGTTTGAGGTTTGAGGTTTACTTGGTCACGGCAAAGTGAATCAGCTTTGAAGCTAAGGCCACGACTTTGAAGCAACATGTTACGACAATAATGGATTCATAAAGGAAAGTAGGAAATAAAGGAAGAGCAGAGAAGAAGATGGTAAATAAGTGAAGCTATTAAGGTTTGTGGCTTATCATTGGGCTATTGAGAACTGATTTCCCTTGTTTATAAGGGTAAAAAGAAGCTAAATGGGTGCTGTTTTCTAACGTTTTAAACTAGGAAACCGTGATTTAAGCTTGGTATAGTATCCAAAACCTTTCATTTTAAGTTATTTTGGGTTATGGATGCACATAGGACGTTTTTACATCATTTAGAATTGATTTCTAACGGAAATTACACTTTTGTGCAGAAAAATATCGAGTTAGGCGCATGACGCCTTCCCCAATCCCAAAATGCACGTTTTGGTGTGATTTGAAGCCTTCCAAAGCTCTGCCACGTGTCTTCCATACATTAAAGGTTGCCAATTCAACAACTACCCAACCAAAAGGTGTTTGAAATGGATGGCTCTCCACAAAGCTCTCAACCTCCTAACCACCTTGAAGTCCCTATAAATTCAGCAATTCATTCTCTTCATTCATCATCCCGGAGTGATCATTTCAGCTTTAGACATTTACTTCTCAGCTTGTTTTTGTTTTCCTTTACTACAGGACGCTTACCTAGCCAACATTTAGATCCGGCTCTACCCAAACTTAAGTTTTTGAGTTGTTATTGTTTTAACCTTACTTATTTCAAGTTTTCCCTTTATTTCCAGCTTATTATTCTTCAATTGTAAGTTTTAGTCTTGTTTAATTAAAATTCCAGCAAGTTCTTTGTTACTCTTATCTCTCTCATTCTCATTACGAAGTTGTAATCACACAACCTTGTGGAATTGACTGAGTATTGTTCCCCAATCTTGAAAGAGAACGGGTTAGGGTCATTCGGGTTGCAACTCCACAATTTCCAGCTTGTTTTAATTCTACTCATCTTTTAATTATGTCGTCTACTTCCATCAACATTAAATTCTGTTTTTTCTTTATCATCATGAGCTAAATTATTTTTCCCAAGCCCGGTTATGGATAGTTAGTTAAAGTTTTTAAAATCCAACGAGGCAAAAGGCGTTTTTCTCCTCTTTTATCACTTAAAGTTGTTTCCATAAGTTGAAACTTGATTTGGGCAATTAATGTTTTAACCAAACATCAAAACTGAGAAGGTTGATACGTTTTCACAACTTTACTGATTTAACTTTAGAGACGAATACTTTAGACATAAAGATTTCGCTAGGGTAGCTTAGACATAGGACCTCGACCTAAGGTTACAGTTGGTTTTTACTAAATTAAGTTCTTTTTTCTAATAGACATATTAGGAATGGATTTAAACCTTCAAAATCACTTAGACATAAGAAGATGGCGAAGTAAAATCGAAGACAATTTATGAGAGGCGCCTGACGTCTAGTTGGAAAAAGTTTGTGTATTTTTAGCTAATTTGAAGTAATTGGGCTGGGATTATTGCATCGAGTTTTTAAATATCAAAACCAACATTATCCTTATTGATTGTCACCCCAAATTCAATTACAAAGTCACCGATCATTAACATTTCCTATAAAAAGACTTTATTTGTCCCTGAGGATCGATACTCGGAATACTCGTTCCGTTTTTACTACTTGTGACGGGTATACACTTGCGCTCTCATTTATTTTGAATCCAAAATACCCAAACAAGATCATATGAGACTCAACTGGTAGAGTGAAAAATGACTCGAACTTTCCCCATCTTACAATTTATTTTTAATTGAAAATTTTAATTTTAACAATAAGAATACATTGTATTACATGAACTAATTACTTTTTTACAATTTTAGGTCTAAATTTATTTTAATTTTGGATTGAATAATTTTAAAAGCTTACTAGCGAGCATTATTTTAATCATTTCAAAAGCACATACAACGTACCTGAGTGTTAACATAATATTTGTTGAAACGTAAAATGGTAGATCAAACGAATCAGATGGTTCAAATGGTTCCAACATACACTAAAAGGTGAGCTTATGCCGGTGAGGTACGTCAATACACTCTCACGCTATGTGTGGTTGTTACGCGAGGGGCATCCTTGGGAGAAGGACAGTGTGGGATTAGAGGCGTGCACACCATGCTAGGTGTGGCACGCAGGTGGGTGGACAAACGAGCCGTGGTGGTAGAGTGCATGCTACTCAGGGTATGGCACGCGAGTGGGTGGGCCAATGGTCCGCAGCAACCTTGGACCATGTACATATTACCACGTGGTCATGAGTGGTTAGGCCATTGGGTTGCAGTAGGGCACGCGTGCCACGTGGTTGGGATCGATAGGGGAGTGGGTTTGTTGATAGCCTCGATATGGCTATATTTTATCATCATTATAGTGGAATTAATTGCTAGTTTCCGTTTCTTTATGATAAATTCACGTGCATAAATGTTATTTTGTAGAAATAAGATATCAAGAAGAATCAGGACATTGAATTGATCAAATAGAGTGAAAGGTCATAGTCCGAGCAAGTTGAGAAGACCCTACAACACGATTTAGAGCCAGAAGACCCGAGGGTGTAGGGTTGAGACGCGACCAGAGCATCTCAATGCTCAAATAATGAAGCTCAACCAAATGACTCGTAAGAGTAGTGTCTCAACGTTACATCAAGGCGTCTCAATGCTACGATGAAAAGCGAGACAATTGACGCTTCGCGTTGTAACATCTCAATGTTATACGTAGCATCTTGACGCTACGACGCCATGATTCGTTTTTGCTAGCATTCTAGGGTACATCATTGAGACGATGCCCTAGCGTCTCAACGCTATCCTGAATTTTTCTATAAAATAGAGCCTTCGCAGATCAATTGGAGAGGGAGCACAGAGTGAAATTTGCAGAGTATCTCGATGAAGAAGTCGGGTTTTGAAGATCGATCGTGGATATTGAGTCGGGGACAATCAATCAATGCGACAGATTCACTTGCTATCTCTTTTCTTTTATTTTGCTAGTTTAATCATGAACATGAGTAGCTAAATTTCATTGTCTTAGGGATTGATGTAGCCATTGACGTTTATGGATTGAATGTTTGATTTTCTTGATCGAAGGCATTTGTTTATTCTATTTATGTTTCTCTTTGCTTCATGCCTTTAATCTACTGGCAACAGATTAATTGATCTTAGACTTACAATCTTACGCTCGAGAGAGGTGGTTGAGAGTTGAGAACTGAGATTCATAATTAGAGAGGTTTTAAGATCGGGAGATTTAGAATTCCTTTAGAGGTTGTTAAGAGACTTGTTCATTAAAGTTTTACCTGTTAGAAAACTAGATAAAGATATTGATTTCATAATTTAATAAGGTGATTTAATTTGGCTTGGCTCGGGGGAGGCAGTTGAGATTTGAGAATTCTTGACTTGTAGAATTGACAGTCTGTCCAATCTTGATTAATTAAATGATTGGTTGATTGATTCAATCAGTGAAATTTATTCCCTAAGATCGTTCTTCCCATTGAATTTACATTCTTTAATCATTTATGTTAATTTGGTTTAATCGTATTACAATTTGATTTTCTAAATAAAATGGGGTAAAAATATCTATTGTACTTGAGACATTTAGAAACTCAATCCTGAGGACGATATTGATATTTACTTACCAACTATATTAAAACTTGACCCGTACACTTGCGGTTAGCAATTTCTACTAAATTTGTGCTTCCACTCGTTCGAACTGTTAGTGGGGTCGGGCGTGAGGCTGGTCTAGCACCCGATCAATGTACGACTGTTTGTGCCGTCCCCCAACAATATAAATCTATAATATATTAAAAAGATAGCATCTCTGAAAAACATTTTTGGACAATGATACCCCTATATATTTTTGATTAATTACATTATTGCCATTAATGGTTACTATTACGTGCCACCTCATTATTTTTACCGATTTACCCTCACTCCGTATTTATAATGGAAACGTTAAATTAAGACATTTATTTGGATTTGGACTTTTCTTCCCTATTACTTTATTAAATTCGGTGGCCACTAGCCATGATTTCATACGTTTTCAGTTATAAATAATTGCAATTTATTAGATTGACCTTTTAATTCCTTTTATGTTACTAATTAAACATGGAAAAAAATGTATAAATATGGTTAAATTAACAATTTCCATATCCGAATTTGGTAATTGAGGAGCTCTCTTTTTGGTAATTCAAATTCTCAAATTTGGTAAATCAATATTCTTAGATTGCAAAGATGAATATGGTGATTGACGACCTTAGGCCTTTTCAAAAGGGTTGGACAATTACGGTTACCATTGTTCGAAAATTTTACATACAAAATGTGACAAACAGAAAAGGGGAACCATTGAGAATCATGAAATTCATAGTGCTCGACACAAAGGTAATTTTTTTATTGAGCAAATTAGTCTTTGTCGTCCAATTTTTGATCTCTCCCACTTATCTATAATAATGTTCCACAATGCAGGGAGTTTGTATTCAAGTCAATCTGTTTAACGACTTGATTGAAAAGTTTGGAGACATGTTGGAAAAGGGAAAAACATATGCGATCAATGATGGAAACATCAAACCAATTGATGTGAGATACATGAATGTTCATTCCAAAATTGAGATATCATTATCTCAAAACAGCAAGGTGAAAGAAATTGAAGGAGAAACATTCTTTCTCACGAAACAAGATTTTTGCAATTTTGAATCGGTTCTCGATTATCAGAGCATAGGTACCTACCTAAATTTTTGTAAAGACATTGTCATAATTATTTTATTATTTAATTAGTTGAAATAATGTTTTTTTTTTCAGATGTGATAGGTGGAGTTGTACAAATAAAACCTATAATTTTCAGAAAGACTCGTGATGGAAATTATTCAAAGAAAAGGGAAGTTCTACTTATGGACAATAAGTAAGTTTCTATTGTATATTACAAATTTCAAATGATTTAGATACATACTATTTACCTAATCTTTTCTTATTCTTATTACATATATAGGCTGAATACAATAAAATTGACACTGTGGGACGATTTAGCGGAAAATGAAGGGCAATATCTAGAAGAAAATGGCAAGACACAAACCGTGATTCTAATCACAAATGTCAGACCTAACCAATTTGAAGGTACTTATTTGTTTGTAAAGCAATTCAATGTTGTGAACACAAATCTATAAACTAAACACTACAACTTAAAATTACAGGTGAGGTTAGCATATCATCTTCAAATATTAGTGTAGTTGCCATAAATCCATTGTTGAATGAAACTGAGACATTGAAGTGCAGGCAAGTATTTTAAAAATTATAATTGTGTTCTTTTTTAGTAGAGTTATAATTCTAATTATTCATGTGTATTAAAATATATTATTATATTTATTTTAATATTTTAAGACAATAAACTTTAGGATGCATACTCTTACGGAAGACAAGAAATTGAGGGATCTTTTATATCCGTCAAAGAAATTGATGGAAGCAAAAGAAGTAAGCATGGATGATGTTATCAAAGGAAAAGTATGAGATCAATATTGTTCTTTTATTGGAAGAATAGTAAAGATCCATAATAAAGATTCTCCATGGTTTGAAAAATGCAATTCATGCAATGAGAGATTATATCCCGTAAACTACAACCCAACAGCTCATTGTACGCAATGTGAAAATGAGAATTCGACTTTTACAAGAAAAATCGTATTGCGAATGCTTGTATCTGATGGTGAAGAAGAGGGCTACATAACTATTTTTGATGCTACTGATTACATAGTTGGATGCAATGCAACAGAATATTTCAATGATTTGAAGGTATTTGTTTAAGTTGAAATTTATTATTTCTTTTAGTAAAAAAGCAATAACTAATTTTAATCTCTATTTTGCAGGATGCCAAAAAAAGAAAAAAGTAAGTATTATCGAAATTTGGTAGTTGCGGAAGATAAAAAATACTACTTTTTGGTTAAGATGGACAAAGCTGGAGAAAGTGATCGTGCACGCAAACAAATCATTGTT